GAAGTAAGGTTGGTGGCACGCGTAGGTGCCGGCTCACGCCGCACCAGTCCTCTATTGCCTTCACGAAGCTCACACTCTGGGGGGCCCGAGTCAGACGTGGCATCCGATGAGGAGTGTCTCCGGCCGTGCCACCCACCAGCGTCCGGCCCGCCCCCCGTTCTTCTTGACTTTGTCTGGATATTGGGGACAGGCTACTGAGGAAAGAGAGAGTGCGGTAGATGCAGTGAAAGTCCACTATCGCTCAAAACCAATCCACGCTCAAGGCATCGTTAACCTGCATCACCATCCTCCTGTAGTGTACCCTGTGGGTCTCATCGGATGTGATGATCGAATCGCCTTTAGGTTTTATAGCAGGATTACGGCTACATTTTAGTTTTATATGGGGACATGCTAGTATTTAACCTCCCTGGAATTCAGCGCAAAGCCACCTTTATCACTTGGGTGGGCGTTTGATCGCGACTGCCCTAGCCGGCCTCAATTATGTGCCGGATGAAACCTCTCCACGCGTGACAATCTGTGGCAGCAGATCTGGACAGTTCAATATATTCCCTGTCCTGACAGACTGAGTCGAACCAGGTTCTGAGCTGACCCCCTCCTCGACGTCTCCAATTCGGTAACGGTATCGGATCGAGGAGACTTTAACAATGAACTCGTGAAGAGGACGAAGGAGAACGTGCCCAAACCACCTCAGTCGTCTTTCTTGGACATCCTTGTGATGTTGTCACAGCGAGTGCGGATTGTCTCATTTGAGACGGAGTCAGCCCGTTTCACTCAAAAAATGATCCTCAAGCAGAAGTGATCAATTGCCTTCAGTTTTATTTCATTTTCGCCGCGCTTAGGCCATCATTCGCAGCCGTAGAGAAGGACAGACCGCACGGATGCATGGTACACATGAACTTTCGTGGCAAGGGAAATATCGGATTGGGTCCATAAGCACTATCTTGAGAAAACCCCGCGAGCTGCATCGACTCGAGGGACAGTGTCATCCTTAGTCTGTTCATTCGGCAGCAACCTCGCTCCGAGGTATTTTAAACTGTCTACTTCTTCAGGCTGACAGCCGTTAATTTCGAGGTGTCTACTCTGCTGGGTAGGGCTGCAGCATAAAAATACTTTGCTCTCCCCAGAGTTTATTTAGAAATCGACCCACTTAGCAACCTCGGTCACCCGTGACACCATCGACTGTAGATCACCAAAGCTTGAAGCTAGTAAGACGATACCTTCGGCATAGACGAGATCCATCAACCGGCGCCAAAAAAGTAATTCTTACCCATGTCTTCCACTCCAAAAGTCGACGCAGACTTTCGGTTATGCAGTCGCGGGTGCCAGATTTTATCCCCCCAAAGAAGGAATACCAAACTGAAGCAAAAAACACAGTTTCTTATTTATCGCTAAATTCAGCGGGCAGTTCTAGAAATACTGTCAAGTAAAGGGAGTGCAGTTAGGAGCAAATAAGCGTGATCACATCTGATTCTGTGTGTGGAGATTACAAAAACAATGTTAGGGGCGGGAGGTGTGCGTGGCGAAAAACATGTGCCTCAGCAGTTTCAGGTTTGAGGAGGAACCCTGCGGTCCTTCTGCTGTTGTTGACGAGCCACCTGACGTCGGAGACGGGGCAGGCCCGGATCCTCGGGGTGGAGGCTCTCTGTGTGCTGGAGGACTTCGCTCAACTCGGTGCAGGCGAAACCACATCGTTCGCACACCCGCACCGACTCTCGGCGTTGGTTGCGAGCGTAGTGCAATTGCACCTGGTGGATCTTCTTTCGATGGCCCTCCAGGGAACAGCGTTGGGTGAAGCTTCGACTGCATTCGGGACACCGATAGGGCTTCACAACTAGAACATCAAGAAGGGCAGAAACTTGGAGGTGGGGCAAGTAGATGCTGCTCCAAGGGTGGAGATGCGAAGGGTTACCGTCAAAGTAGACCATGATTCAGAAGAAGAAGAAAAAGAAGAAGAAGAAGAGGCAACCACTGGAACAAGAGTTTTATTGTCCTGGCGTTTCATATTCTGTCGAGGATCCATAATCTCGACAGAATCTGAAACGTTAAGGCAATTTAACTCTTGTTCCAGTGGTCGCTTCTTCTTAGCTACTTCCTGAAACTCGCATATGCAATTCTGTTGGTGGACCATAATTATTTACTATGGGAAAGTGCGGTGGTACTACTACTCTGTCCTGCCGTGACAACCACGGTACTTCTAAGAGGGGGTAACGAAAAAAGAATTATCCTCTGTACGCAACACTGGTTGTCCGGTTTAAAAGGTGTCAAATGTTACTAGAAGCTGAAACACGTTCGGGTCACACCTCAACGTCCAGAACAGACAAAACGTCCATAAGGCCCAGTTTGGTTTACTAGTTTATCGCTTTATGAAGTTGCGCCCTCTGCGTTAACTAAGAAATTCAAGTTTTGGGTTTTTTGTTATTGGATTTATCGCCGAGATTTATTTTATCGAGAGTTGTTTTTGTTTATTTTTTTAATTTCACCCAACCTTGTCTTGTACATGTTTCGCTGCTTATCGTCTATGAGGCTCCACCCCTTAGAACCCTCATCAACGTCATTTCCGTTTTACCCAATCCTACCGGTGCTGAATGTATAAGAAAATTGTCTATATTGCAGTCTATAGCGCGTAGTAGGTCCCTTTCGAAACTCTTGGAACGTAAAGCTCAGTAAACAATTTGGCCAGGGTTCATATTTCCGGTTATCCTGTTCTGACATTTGGGTGGAGATAGCTAATAATTCCAAGTAAACCAGAAACGCACGATGCTAACTTACCATTTCTGTTTCTACCCCGAGCAGCATAAAAGTAACAGCCAAATTTATGGTGGTAACTTACAGGTGTGTTTTCGCGTATGGCGCTTCATGTCGTACTTGTCGTTGAAGCCTTTCAGGCACTGGACGCAGAGATTGAATTTGCTTGCGCTGTGCGAGAGCAGGTGCTGTTGCATGGAACGCAGCCGGGTAGACACCCGATCGCAGCCCCGGCAAGTGAATTCGCCGCGCTCGTTCACGTAGCCTGGAAGGAAAGAGAGGCAGGACATATTGTCAACCAATGAAAAAATAAAATAAAATACTTAGTTTTATTCGGGCGCCGCCTTTTCCCTTGAAATTCCTTGGGTAGACTCCGGGGGGTGAAGTGAGATCTGAAGAGTGCTCAGTCGGACCAGTACAGCGTCCACTGTGTGCCAGCATCGGTGCCTCTTTCGGTGAGTTCGTTAATGGAGATACAGCTTTGACCACCGTCTACCGCATTATTTCCTCCTTTGCGCACCTTGCTCCGATGCCAAGATAATCTCAAAGTAACCGAAGATGGGCCTGAACGCAGTTACTGACAAATCTAAACATACCGTCTACGCGTGCCACACATAAGCTTATGCCGCATCTGGTGTATCGAAGTTCTTCAAGGGTGATCCACCGGCGAGATTGAAAGGCCCGCTCTCTCTCTCTCTGCGAGTTTGTATGTTCCCTTTTACTGTTAGACTTGCCTGCGACTTGCATTTCGATCATTATACTATGCAAGTTGTGGGGATAGTATGCATGATGTTAGCATCTGTTAAGATCATCTGTTTTGATAAAAAAAAACTGCCTTCCCAGAGAAGAACTTGAGTATGAGTACAGATATGTTTAGGGCGAATATTTATTCTGACAACCTGCCTATTTTAAATAGTGATTGGGCTGATCTGCAAATTTTCGCACGAGTTGTTGCCTCATGTTCCGCGAACTAAGTCTGCGTTAGTGGTTAGGACGTGAACATTTACGGGGAGGGATCATGTGATCACGAGTTGAAAGTAGCATGCTCTGTCTCCTGGAGAGGATTTTTCAACGCAGTTAGCGCCAGTGGAATGCGCTGCGTGTGGGAAGTAATCGGGTGAGATAGATCCTTCACAAGTTTGCTTAGAGTCCCACCTTGCCCCCTCTACATTGCTGATGAAGTTGGGGTTTGTTGTAGCGAAACAAATGACCATCATGGAAATAATACAGTTTCACTCTCGCTCTCTCTTTGGAAATGAGTGCACTTAAACGATAACGAAACTCATTCGTCGAGGAGCGGTGAGAGGCAAGGAAGAAAACCACAATCGGAAACGATAGTATCACTAACATTAGTAATTGAAATACTAAAGGAGCGATGGAGGAGGAGGAAGAGGAGGAATGAGATGAAGAACCAAATACAAAAAAGAATAAGATAGGAGTGAGACGTTGACAACTAAAATAATAATGTCAGCCCTCAGGGCAGCCTTTTAGTGACTTTTAGCGGTTATTTGTGGGCCCCATGGGGCACTGGGAGAGACTGGCGCTAAAAGTTAAGTTTGAACCGCGGGGTTGCACCCCCCACTAAGCTGCGGTTCCGCTTCCCCCTACCCCCTGATAACGCTGTGGCTACTTATGACGGGACGAATGGCCTCCATCACTGTCACAACGGCCCACGAAGGTGTGAGTCGACCGTGGCAACCACTGCCGCCGTCGTCGTTCTCATTAACACTTTGAGCTGGTCGGTATGACGTGAGTCGGGGGGAGCTGATCTGTTGGACTCTCCCGTTTGGCAGCTAATAGACTAACAACAACGGTGGGTTTTCACTCTCTACGCGCGCGCTGTGATGGCATCCAGACGCTGTGAGGTTACTTCCGTCCCCCGCCTCCCCCCCCCGGGTGCGGTCGTTCTGCGGTTGGTCAGACTGTCCTTTGCTTAACCGGGGTTTCTGGAATTTTGATTAGGCTGGCCTTAGTTACAACAAGGTAGCTTCCGCCGCGACTAGGCGAGCCACGTGGTGCCACTTCAGAGTTCAGTACAAATGCTTCGCCGTGGTACGTAGCTAGGTACTGTTCGAGGTCAAACCTATCATAATTTACTGCACCGAGAGTTGGCGAATGCTAAAGAGCGGTAAATGTATTCAAGAGGTTCGGCTGGTGTGGGGGCCGAACTTAGTGTATGCGCACGCGCACAGAAGGACTCAGACCGTGAAGTTCCGCACCAAAAGGGTGCAAGCGCCTGCCCTCACGGCCTGTGCTCAATCCTACCCCCACCCCACCCCTGGTCTAACGCCAGGATCCTAAAAGGTGCACCACGAACTCTCCGCGTGGAGGATCAACATTTTTCAGAGATCTAGCTACCGCAAATTGCTAGCTATTTTTTCTACTTTAATAACGCCCACTCCGTCATTGGGAAGTTCTTAAAGTTAATCGTGTCAACCAGTAGTTAAGGGGGGGGGGGTTAAGCTAAGCGAGATTACTTTGTCCTCGATTATAGCTGTGACGAGATCGCAGTGTCCTGTTTTTGCAGAATGTCTACGGCCGGTGTCAGCGAAAGCGTATTTCACGAAACTATGGTCTTCGAAATGCAAGTAGTTGGAACGGAACCGAAACAACATTCTGTTAGTTAGTAGCCGTTTTTCAGAATATGCGCACGAAGGCAAAACAGGGTAAAGAACGGTGAAAAAGAGAAGAATCCCACGAACCCAACTTATTATATGTTCAGGAATTGCAGACTATCACAAATGTTCCACATATTGTAGACAGGGATATATTAGCAAGGAAGACAAAGGAGACTCGAATGACCATTTCTGGCTTATTATCCCTCATCAGCAAGCCACACCCAACCACAGGCGTAGTGACCCCCGAGGCTAGAAGCTCTAAGCCAATTCGTCACTGGTTCGGGTATGGCCGGCTAGTGAGGTTAATAAGCCAGAAATGACCATTCTCTTTGTCAGTAATATCTTTCTGTCTATAATATCATAGCAACTGTGCAGCAGCTGACGAAGCCCTAAGGATGAGTGAACTCCGTAACCGATCAATTAGGATCAGCCTACCCTTGCTTTACATAGCGCTGAATCCGATTATGTACCTTAAGTGCCCAAGAGGATTTGTTTGCAAGCTCGGCAGAACAGCTACTTGGAAGAAAATATACAGTAAGGCAGGTCCTGCAAACAACTGTCATGGCGAAAGTTAACTTGGTAGCTTAGCATATATCTGGACAGGTTATTTTAATCAACTAAGTGGGTTTAATTATTTGAAAGCCTTCAGTTTGGAAAACTGCCCTCTTAGTTAAAGTTATTGAGGGAAATAGGCACTCGTTTAGGCTAAATCATGAGTAACTATATATTAAAGAAATTTCC